CCCGTAGCCAGCGGGGAGAAGCGGGCGGGTCGGCGGTGGTGAGCTGACTGAGAGTCGTCACGGAGAGCGGCCTGCTCCTACCGCTGCGTCGGCGTTTCCCCCCCGGAACCGCACTGGACAGCAGCAGTTGCCAGCAGCGCCCCAAAACAAAGCCCTGGCGCCGGAGGGGAGCTGGCCCGCCCGCTGGTGGCCCCTTGCCCCGGTCTGCCACTAGAAGGAGACGTTCTCCCACGGTTGAGCCCGCTCACTGCATAGCGCGGCACCGGACGGCTGCCCGGGAAAGCATCACAGGTTAACACACTTTGCTTTTGCGTTTCTGAAGCTTTGTGCCCAGGACATGATGTGTCATTTCAGTAAAATCACGCCATAGCAATTCTGAAGACATTAATTTCTGTACCTTGCTCATAGGTGAGTTCTATTAATTTAATGGGCACATTTGTTTGCAATATTATTCCCCCTGAACTTGGCCGATCAACTTCCAAGCAATCACATAGCCACTCTGTTACACAAAAATTAATGAAATAAATTAATTTTCCAAACCAAGGAAGTCTGCACCTGCTTAACGTGTAATGTTGTTTCTGGCCGCTCATCCCCATCGCCGCTCCCTTTCTGTCTCTCCCGTGACTGCCTGAGCACAGCCTCGTCCTCTCTTCCATTGGTAACACCGCCGGCTAAGGGCTGAATTACAGGCTGCGAACATGGGCGGTTATTGCTTGTACTGCTCACCGCTCCAGCACAAACTGCCGGTACCCCCGACTAGGAGCTGCATGACTAAAACCTGCAATTGTAAAACTGGATCACCTGCAACTGAGAGTCCCCAACAGGGGACACCTTACCAGCGTTCAGCTGAGGACAATTCCTGCCTCAAAAAGCTTCCAGTCTACGTAGAAACGAGCAGTAAATCATGGAACCATATTTGGTCTTATGAGGAGGAAAATGTTTTTCCAAGACAGGTGACAATCTCATCACTTTCCCCTCATTTTCCCATTACCTATGTATAAAGTTCTTGCAATACTGTCCTGATTAAAGCATTGCTGAGTCCCAGCCATCGAAGATGCACCAACCGCCATCTGAACGGCTGTTACACACTTAAAATTTAGGTGTTCAGAAAAAGGCATTTAAGAGCGTAACTGCTTTGCTTTGGAAAAGTGCACACAATACATTCACATCCTTTAAAGAAGTTCTCAGTTTTTCTCCCAGATATAACAGGTTTCAGCCTTGAAACAACAGTCCCTTGTGTCATAGCTACTTCCCGTGAGACAGACTGACTGACTCCTGAGGCAGGGCCCGTGAATTCTAGTTTAAAAGCCACTGATGGTAACTGAAGCTTGAGAGAAAGGCGGGTTGGGGCGGTGGTTTTGGAGGAACGGTAAGGGAACCAGCGTGTTTCCTGCTCGCAAACCTCCTTCTGCTGCTTTGGTTGAGGATGCTGTAAAAAGGGTATGTTTCTGATTTGAGCAGTTGGGAGTCTCAAGTATTCCCATCTTTCACTGATTAGTCCCCAAACTTGATTGTTCTAACATACAAGTGTCTAAGTTACTATTTAAGGAGGTCTCATCTTGGAAACACAGTATGTAGAAAAGAGTATCTGGTAATATTTGGAAAGGTACTAGCACATCCTGGTGTTAAATCTGTCTTTTTGAGAGAAAAATACTGTAAAGTTATCTTCTTATGAACACTCTCCACTTTAAGAACCACAAGCTTTTCAGAAACGGCACTCTGGGAAAAAAAACCAAAACAACCAAACCCTTCTGAATAACTATGTACAAAAAAAACCCTAGAAAAAAATATCTTAAAATACATTTAGCTCAGGTATTTGAGGAGTTTGGCCTCTGCTTTTCGGTGATTAATAAATAGGCTATGACCTGTTTTCCGTTTCAAGTATATTTACCTCAGGTAAATGCTCGTCACCGCTTCATACTTGTACAACTTCTGTACTTAACTGCTCTGTAATTACCTTCTATGGGAAACTAATGCAAAAAATGTTATGTGGAAGTGGATCCAAATGTTTAAGCAAATTCAAATGTCTGGGGTGGGAGGAACTGGCCCTGTAAGATGTATCTGAGAATTTTATACTCTACCTTCCCTATGAAAAATTTGGCTGTGTTTTAGACTGCAGCTCAGTACAGCACTTTAGGTCTGTGTTTCCTTTCAGACATACGGATTCAATTCACTGATGTCAGCAGGACTTTCAACATTTGAAACTGAAGGACGTGTTCAAATATTTTTCTTTTGGGGCCAACAGATCATTTCCTGTTCCTGAGGTTATATAGAACATTCCCCACAAAAAGCACCAAAAAGCAAAAGTAAATCCCCTCCTCAGCAGCCCCCGTCCTCTGAGCCAGCGTGGGCTCTTCTTGCAGGGGCATCTGGGCAAAAAATAGGCTGTAGGTAGCGCGGGAGTCAGACTGAACTTGGCGGTGAACTCCGGCAGCACTCTTGCAATCTCTCACGCTCAGGAATAACTTTACCCTCCTGGGCAGCTGCTGAGAGTTAGTTCCACCAGTTATTGCAAGAGGAAAGTTTTTTGTGTGCGTGCACATTTGCAGTATCAATCTTACCCCGCTGAGACACCCCAGCCTGCTGTCTGTCCACCGCGGGTGGCTCCACTGCCTGCCCCTCACCTCCCTACTGCTGGCACTTACATTTGTGTATGTTAAACATTAGGAGAAGATAAAGTTAACTTACAATGACCATTTATTTAAAATTACCTCTACTGTTTTTAGCTGGTGTGTAATGTCACGCTAGCTTTCTGAGACAAGACGTTGCATGTAATGCACATATATACATATATATTTTATTTCTCCAAGTTGAAAAAAGGTTAACAAGCTGTTGCATAGTTGTATGTCTGGAGAAGAAGAAATGATGGCAATTGTCTTGCATTCAGCCTAGAAGAAATTTGTGCTGATTTAAGGACTCTTTGGATAGTGAAATAAAGTGCCTAATTACAAATGATTATTTATGTTCAAAATTCTTGGCACAGAAGATGGGTCACAATGCAATTTTAGAGCACTGGATTTCAGAAAGAGTTTTTTTGCCAGAGAGGCCAGAAGGCTGAAAGATAAAATTCGAAAAGTAAGTTATCTGAGAAGTTACTCAACATTTTAAACTGCAGAAAAATCATCATCAGAGGAAAGTCTCTCCCATCTTTTGTATTTTTTACGAAGATGAATACAGTTGAAGGGAAGAGCAAAGCCCAAGATAGTTATGCTCTTTTTTTTGTCCATTTGGACCAAACCATCTGCAGAGATCCCTAGACAATTGTAAGAGGTGACTCCCAGAGTCTGTGTTTCAGTTCAGAAGGATTGTCCCCACTGCTGCATTTCCCTGTAGTCACCAACTGATATATGGGAACCACTCTGATGTAAAGCATTTATTTTGTTCCACTCAAGGTAAGCTCACTGAAGGCCAACCGACACGCCCATCCAGAGCGAGCCTTTGGCAAATCCCTCTGCACTATAAGCTGACAGTCTCACGCCGTGTCTAGGTCCCAACGCACACAGCGCTGCTCTGTGGGGGAAAGCACTGCTTCTTTCTGGGAAAAACAACCTGCCCCAGGACAGGCGGTACGAATGGAGCCCCCCCGGCGCACCGGGACCCAGGTGGGTCCCAGCCTGCTGACAAGATGGAACAGCCCTCGGAGCTCTGTGACACCTGTGCCGTGTCACAAAGCGCTGCGCAGCCCGGAGAAGGCTGGCGGAGGCGCCGGGGTGCTCAGAGCGGCTGCAGCTGCTGGACAGCCTGGGGGCAGCTGCCTGAGCCCAGCGCAGGATGGAGTTTCTGGGGACCACGCAGCTAGCCAGTTACTGCGGCAGAAAGAAGAGCTGCCAGTTCCCGGATCTAGTTCCCACTAGCACCACCAAGGACACCTATCAGCCCTACTGCCTACCAGGCTACCGCTACCTCAGCTCCTGGAGGCCCGGTCTGCTTCACAAAGTGGTTCTGGACCCTGCCGGCTCTGACAAGCAATTTAATCCCAGTGGGCGGCCGCCCACTGTTCTGCCAGGGTTACGCTCTAGCCTGCACGCCCGCTACAGCCCTCGTGACTGGCACCATGCGAACATGGTTCAGTTAAAAGGGGCTGAAGCCTCCAGGTACTGCTCAGGTAGACTGAATGCTGATTCAATGAGACTGATGCAAAATAAGGATCAACTGACTTATCAGATGCAAGAAGACAGTAGAAGAAATCTGGGAGAGAGGATTTCCAACATTGATTTCTGGAGATCCGAGCTCATCTATGAGCTAGAGTGTCTGCTGAAAGAGACCCAAGCCTTGGAAACAGCAAAGCAGCGGCTTGAACGTGCTGCAGATGAAATGCAAGGACCACTGAAGGTAGGTTTGATACAGTGACTTATTTCATGACTGTACTGTGGAATGATTAAAAAAAATGGCTTTATCTCTGTTGAATACTAGTATGACTTTTACTGTTGTCATCAAGACGCATCTTGGTGAAACATTACCCTCAGTAAGAAGGAAACCTGGCCACCATGGGTTTTACACACAAAAGTCAAGAAAGCAACCTATCAACACACTTCTATATGCCTTCCTTTTCCTTCCTTTCTGCCCGAGGCTCCAGGAGACGGAGGCTCCCTCAGGCACTGCCCGGGCAGCTCAGTACATCACAGGAGAGCAGAAGATGGCCCTCTAAGCTGCAATATCCCCATGTTCTTATCTAGTTCTGAATTTTCTGCTATTGCTTGCTGAAAATAATATTTTCATTTAGGATGGCATATAATTTTGAAGTTCTCCAGAATCTTAAATGCAAATTAATTGCAACAGAAAAAGCAACAGTAATGTAAGTCAATGAATGATGCTAGCAAAAACTCAAAACGCGCAAAAGCTACAGTCACAGCTGTCTCATAAACATCTGGAGTATTGCTGATGGAAGCTATGTCTATCAGAGATGTTTCTAGGCAAGTACAAATAGAAACCCAAAATTCAGTGTTCAGTAATGACTTTTTTAGTTGTCTGTATCTGTACTGATTCAGAGTGGCAGGCTGAGGATGCTTTCTATTCAGGGACCATATTCTGCCGAAAGGCTTGGTGCCAGCTAATGCTGTTTCATTTATTAGCATGGTTCTAAACAAGTGGATGAGACATTACGAGTAAAGTTAACCTGCTGGGGCAGGTTCACTGAATTCCCTCTTCAATGACTGTAGTTATGCAGTCATTCTCTTGTATAGGTACAAAACTTGCAAACTTTGGCACTGGGTAAGGGAGGATGAGGGGAGATGAGATTAAAGGATTTTGCTACGGATGAGTGTAGAACACCACAGGTGCTTTAATCCACCCAATTTACAACAAAGCTTGGGCACGTCGACATGCAGGCCTTGCTGCACAGTACTAAGCAGCTAATCAAATGGCAGGTAATGTATTAACAGGTAAGTAGGAGTAAACCACTAAGATGGATCAGTTGAGCGCAGTGAAGTCACCTATTTTGTTCCACCCTCAACAGGTGGTCATTACTTGATGTGTCAGCTCAGTCAGAACCTTCAGCAAGGTTCAAGGTTTCACTCCACAATGCAGTACCGAGCCTGTTACAAATGTCCCTCGGTTTGCTTGCAGATAGCCCTAGAATGCTTGTACCTCCGGGAGATGCGGAAGGGCATAGACTTAGTTCATGATGATGTGGAAAAGAACCTCATAAAGGTAAGATCAGACTTACTAGATTATTTTTCAAACTGTGGGAATAACTAAAATACAACTAAATGCTTACCAGGGTAAAAGCATTGCAGTAATTTCCTCCTTTTGTTCACTTGGACGGCTGAGGGGGGAAAGGGGAAGAAACTAGGTAAAGCTAAATATATTGGGAATGGTTCATGTTCTATTCATCCTTCCTGGAGCGAGAGGAGCCCAGCATCCTTGTCAGGTCTTGTCCAGTTCTATCTTCTCTGATCCTATAAAACGATGTAGAAACATTTCTTAAGATGTTTTTCTGGGCCATGATCTATAGAATCCTAGAATTTCTTAGGGCTTACAATATAAAATGCTGGTTTACTGCCTTGCTATATATATAGTGTTACTGAACAAAGAAAATGAGATGGATAGTAATGATTGCTAAATCTTTTAA